TGAGACAGGGTTTCTCTGTATAACAGCCTGTCCTGGAACTAGCTCTCATAGACCAGGCTGGCCTTGAACTCATAGAGAGACACCTATCTCTGCCCCCGAGTGCTGGGATTAAAGGTGCGCGCCACCACCACTGGGCTAGAATACTCCATTTTAAGGAAATACTTTTGCTCAAAAGAGGAAGCTGACTCAGCCAGAAGGCCCGGAAAAGGGCAGGCTCCCTGGACCAGGCAAGTTGGGTCGATCTGCAGAAGGCTTCGGGGAAAGGGTATACTGAGGAGAAGAATTCCTCTCCTTTCCGCATGAAAATAAAGACGAGAATAAAGGGAACTTCTGCACATCCCGCTGCTGAGTGACGCCACGCACGCTACAAAGCCAGCTGAGACCACAAGCAAACAGTTCAGGTGTCTTAGTAAATGCTTTTATTATTTCCAATCAGTCACAGGTCCCGAGCGGGTGAGGTCACAGAAGGGCACATGGGAGGGCCCCGGGGGAGCTCGTGGAAGCTGAGGCCAAAAGGACAGCAGCGTCTAGGTGTGTGGCAGATGCGTCACTGTCGGGAAAAGCTTAAGGCAGGGGTCCCGAGTCCTGCCCCTCGCCACTGTCCCCAGGGACCAATTCCCTCCCTGCCAAGCCGGACTCTGCTTTTCCCTTAACAGCCAGAAGGGGGCAGCAACGTCCTTATGTAAAATTTCCAATTTGACCCCATCCCCCGCACCCCACTCCCACCCCGCCTTTTGGAGTTAGGGTGTTTGAGGGATCCTGACTCCTACAGGAGAAAGGGTATGGAATGAAAGAACCAAGATTCTTAATCTCGTGGCTTCCTCGGGTTACACCGAAAGAGGTGCTGTACACGAACCCAGGAATTGGTGTGGGGGAGTGAGGGACTTCACGTGACTATCCTTCCCGGACCTCCTGATCGGTCACGCTGCCTCTCTGTGCCTCTCATCGCAGATAGATTCCTGGCTCCCTTTAACTTTATGAAATCCAACCCACCCTGTCACAGGTCCGGCCCCACCCGAACTAAAAATGTGAGGGGCCAGCGGGAGTCCTTCCTCCTTCACAGTTTGCCGCACCTGCCCGGCTTCGGTTTCTCATAATCCCGCATTCCTCATAATCCTGCATTCTTGTTCCCGCCCTTCCTCCTGCCAAGACCCACCCAGGTGTTCCTGGGACCCTTCACTGTTCTGTGAGGGGTCGACACCAAGGCTTTCTCTGGCCTTGCTGCCATGGCAGTTCAGCTACGGGCTGGGTATCAGACTGAAGCTAACCCTGCTGGCAGGCCTCTCAACCTCCACAGCAGAGCCATCTTTGAGATCACTGTGACTCGTGCCTGGGTCACATTATTTATGGCTGAGGAATTGCCCCTCCTCCAGGTTTTTGGAACTTAGCCTTGGAAAAATTTCTCAGTCCTCAAAGTCTCTGCATAGATTATCCCAGAAGAAGAGGGCTTGGACAAGTGGATTCTGGGAAACTGGCCAGTGTGAGGTTGGCAGGTCAGTGGGGGAGGGACTTTGAACCTTTCTAGAACTGAAGCAAGAGATAAGGAGAGGCCCTCAAGGTGAACAACTAGATGAAGTCAGTGGAAGTGTCTTGGTGCCTCTCCCTGGCACTGGTTGGGGACTTATAGATAGGGGAACAGAGCCACAGACAAAACACAAGTCTGTGGGCAGTGAGGCCCAATCAGAAGCCAGGAATTCTGCCTCCCAGCTGACTTCCAGGGAGTGAGAACCTCATTTTGGCATCTCAGAGTCAAGGATGGGAGATGGGGGGGATACAATAACCACCCCCCCCAGAGATGCCAGGCCTTGACCACCCAAGTCTATAGGTTACAAAAGTCTCAGTCCAGCCCATATGAATGAAGCAGCTGTGGCTGACCCCAGGATTACTAGATGACGATGGGTTTATCACCAAGCCCTTGGCTTTGCCTCTGCAGTGGGGATGTGTGGATCACCATTGCAGGGCCCCTTTCTGGACCCCAGCAGTGGGCATTCATGCCAACTGCCCCACCCCCACCCCATTCTTGGTTCCTTCCTTTCTCCAGGAGTCAAGGAAGAACAAAATTTCAAAGGCTTCTGTAATGTTTCTCAAAGGTGGGGAGGGGCAGGGACAGCAATGGATAGGCTACCTAGTCCCCTTTCCTGAGGGGCAAACAGAGCCCCCTACATCCACAGAGCCTCCTAGCCTCCACCCAGTAACTTTCCACTGGCCTGGAGCTGGCCATGTGCACATGTGGGCTGCATGCTGCCCCAGGTGTGGCCCCTGGTCCCCTCTCCAGCGGGCACTCAGCCAGGACAGGGTGGCTGACGCACACTCTGCCTGAGATCCCAGCCGCCGGGAGGCCGATAAGGAGTTCTGGCCTCATCACATGGGATAGGCTCAAGGGATTGGCCCTGGCTGTGACCGTGAGCTGGGCAGCTTCCAAATTACAGAGATATGAAGATAAGGGGGCAAGGGCCCAGGGACTCTGGGCTGAGTGGGCAGGGAAGCTGGGGGAAGGGACATGGAGGCCTCCACTCCTAGGGCCTCAGGAGGCCTGACAGGAGGGACATAAGGCAGGACATAGCAGAGCCAGGGGAAGGCTTAGGAAGTAGGGGTGGAAGGGACAGAAAGCCAGCCCCTGGGAAGGGCTGGTCCGCAGCTAGAACTACTTTCACCTCACTTCCCCCTCAGGCCTGTGGAAACAAAGATGGGGTGTTAGTCCTGCATTCACACATGCCTGCCCAGTGACTGCAGTTTGACCCATTGCCCCGTTCAGTCCTCGCAGCTGGCTGCCTGGGAGCTCAGGCCAGGCCCACATTTAGGCACATTCCCCCGTCCGTCCTATGGCCGGGAGGGCAAAGTCGGGCAAGCAATGGAAGCAAGCCTACTCCTTTATATTGTCCAGGTCTCTAGAACAAGCCACTGGTCCTAACAGCTGAGAGAGGGACAGCCTGGGACAGCTTCACCCCCACACCCGGTGCCCTGTCCTTAGGTTCCAGTCATGTCCCCTCAGTCTTTGCCCTTACAATACATGGTTGTCCAACCTTAAAGAAGTAAAATCCTAGAGCAGGTTTGGTGGGGTCACAGTTGCAACCAGGTTTCTGGGGTCTCCTTCCCACCTCTGAGGGGGCTTTCTCCCACTCATTCCCTGGGTCTGCAAATCCAGAGGTGCCCTCAGCCATGACTGTCCCATTTGGAGGATGTAATTGGGTCAGGGGCACCGCGGGGGAAAGTGTGGCCTCAGGTCTGTCAGGCCCCAAGGATGGCGTATGTACAAGCTGAGGAGGGCTGGCTGCAGGAGAGAGCGACCGCTCACAAGCTGGCTGCAGCACGTTTATGTCTGGACTTGCAGGAGCACAGAGGGGTCACAGGACAGGGAAGGGACGTTCTCTGGAGGAACGTAGGGATGGGGAGGTCTCCTCATTCCCTGCTGGTGCCGAAAAGCTGCAGGAAGAAGGTGAAGATATAGATAATGTCTAAATAAATGTTGAGGGCTCCAAAAATATACTCCTCGGGACTCAGCGAGTGGCGACGGTTACCCATTAGCAACTGGGTATCAAATGCCAGGAACTGGAAGAGAGGAAAGAATGAGAAGTCAGATAATCAATCAGGGTGGACACTATGGGGGCTAAGCTGCTGGTTTTAGGACCTGGTGGTTTAGTGACAGCCCAGAGCTTGGAATCCACCCCTAATTTTATCTAACACCTATTTACTGAGCACCAGTTTTCTCCCAGGCAGAGCTATAGCAGAGGGCACAGTCCCTGCCCACTGAAGCTAAAGTCTGGGGGTGGGGGGATGTTAGAGAGATGAGAGTAACCCCACAGTTATACGAAGTGCCTCCTGGCAGTGCTGAGGGTTAACGGGAATCTGTCCTTCAGGCAGTTAACTAGGAGTCTGTCCTGGGTGAGTGTGGCTGCTTATGAGGGCGTCCTGAAGCAGGAGGCTTTCTGTTGAGATAGGCTTCATGCTGCTGTCCAGGTCCTGATCCGTGTCTGAGGATAATGCATAGTATTCTGGGAGCTTGCTATATGCTTTATGGACATCAGCTCCTTCCAGTGGAAGTGCCCTTACTAGAGGAAACTGAGGCCAGAGATGTTAAATATTTACCCTGCTCCACTCACGTGGGGAAATGGCAAACCCGGGGTTTGAGCAGGCTGGCCCCAGCGCCCACAAACCCAACTATTCCACTCTGCTGCACTCTGCAGCAAGCAGGATTAACGCGTCTCTCGATCTCCCAGGGGAACCTTCTGGGCCTAGTGGATGATTCTGCACCAACTGCCTTAGCCACAGCTCTCCTCTGTCCCCAACCACCCCTGCCAGCCCTTTCAACTGCCTGCAGAGACTCCGCCCCTCCCTCAGAGCTTTCCTCTGGGTTCAGTCTTGGACGCAGAAACCCCTTGCAAGCAGCATATGAAATTAGGCAGGCAGGGACACCTTTTGGAGGATAGAATCCCCAAAGTCTCCCAGTGTCTAAAAGGGGAAGAACTGAATACACACGGGCTGAGGTTTCTTTAGATTCATTCATGTTCGGCACCTAGCTCCTTCATCACTGAATGCAGAAGGCCTGGGTTCCTCATACACCATCCCACACGTGCGCGCACAAATGCACCGGGTGACAAATGCATGCCAGGGACTAAGAGTGGAAACCACAAGGGAGACAAGTCTGTGTGCTTTGGCGAGGCTCACTGCCTAATGATGTGGGGGAGAACTAGATAATTACGTGGAAGCTGGGCCCTTGCTATAATTAGGGCTGTGGAGTGAGAGCTCCTGACTGATCAAGAAGACGGTGTCCTGGGGGGGGGGGTGACACGTTACCTGGGGTGTGAAGGAGCCGTGAACATCGGCTAGGCTGGACAAACTTAGGAAGCCCTGGGGACCTGAGGGACCTGTTGTGAACGGTGAAGAAGTACAGTGGGGGCACTGTGGGAAGGCAGGTGACAAGAGGGAGGTCACATGACCTTGGAGCTTGGATTTGCCCAAAGGGAGGCTGAAAGATGTCCTGATCCATTCCCTTCACCCCATCCAAGAACTCCACTCCCTGGACCCAGACTCCTTGGGATGTTTAGGTGCAGCCCCCAGGGAGCCTGGGAGGATTCTTGCCCTCCATGCCACACAATACAGGAAGGAAGCAGAGACTCCAGCACATGGTACATGAGATGGGTCATCCCCCTGAAGGTGTGGGGGGGCAAGGGTGACTCTGAGCTCTGTCTTGAAGGTCATCCGGCTTGGAGACTGTCCCACCACTTACTCAGTCGGGAGAACGAACAAGATGCCTTCTCCTTGGCCTGCGAATCCCTAGCTGTGAGGGAAGATGGGGTGTTTGCCTCATGAGGCTGTTGCCAGACTGCGATAACCATGCTGTGTCCGAGACACCTGACCTCCAGCCGGAACCTAATGAACCGTAGCTGTTACTGGTGCTCTGCTGCCGCGTCTGCAGGAGTGGCATCCTCCCAAGATGAGGCGGGTGCTGCTAATGAGACTCAGGTGGCTCCGGCATCTCGTCAGGGAGGCAGAGAGATCTGAGGGGACTCTGCACAGTTTTAACAGAAATGGAGAGCTGCAGTGAGGGTTGAGGGGGCCCTCTATGCAAGGACTGGGCCTCCGAGCACGGCAGCATTAAGGGCAGGGCCTCCCCGGAACACAGACTGAAGCTGGAAGGCTGAGGTTTGAGTCCTTGCTCCAGGTTTCAAGAGTCAGTTTGGCCATGTGACCTCAGTGCCTCCATTTTACAAAGCAGGATGGCGTCACCCTGACTGTACAGAGGCCTCGACTGCCACTATCCCTCACTATCGTTTTTACTCCAGTCTACTTGGCAGAATGAGGTTTGGCTTCCTAAGTGAGGTTTCCTCTGCAAAGAGAACAAGCAGGGGGTGGCGAAGGGGGGCTCAGATGCTGCGGGCTATTTAGCGGGCACAGCTGCCAAGCAGAAGTTAATAAATCGCTGAGCTGGCTTATCCATCAGCAGCGCTTGGTTGATTTCCCAGAGCCTGGTCACCCCTGGGTGAGCTCATGAAATAGAATCTTTCAACCTAGAAGGCTTGGACCTGATCAGGTTTGGGGGTGCCCCTCCAAGGAACACCCACCCAGAACAGCTAGCTGGCTGCGGAGAAGCGTGGAATAATAACTGCTCCACCTGCGCTTGGCTCTGGCCCTGGATACTCATCCGAATGGTGCTAATGGGGGTAGCTGCCCCAAAGGAGTTACCATCCACTGCTGCAGCCTCATGCAGAGAGCCAACCGGGAGCCTTTTACTTACTTGTTACTGAGCACCTACTATGTCTCAGGGATCTTAGAACTGACAGTTTAATGAGAGCAAGAAACATCACCCAGAATTCCATTATAAGGGCCAGTAAGATGGGGGCAGATAAAGGTACTTGCTATCAAGCCTGGTGGCCTGGACTTGATCCCTAGAACCCACACAGCAGAGAGGAATGACTTCTATGAGTTGTCCTCTAATCTCCACACACACACTGTGGCACGCATGTGTACAAACACACACACAAATAAATGTAAAATGATTTTTTTAAAATCCCATTATGAGCACGCATTAATAAGGGAAAATTAACCGGCTAGTGTCTCCATGGTGACTGAAGCATTGCCAATCTTCTGAGCCGGCAGTGGGTGGCCTTGTTTACAGTTAACATACTAGTTGCAAACTAAGATCAGCTGCTGACACCTGGAAATGTAACTGTTCCCCCTGGAAAGGTTAACTTGTAGCTGAACACGGGGCTCTGCAGGAGCGGGTGGGATGGGGCCAGAGGCAGTGCCACGTTAGAATATGAGTAATGAGTCTGGAATATATGACGGTCCTTATACATGCTACTATGTTAGCTCAGCTCACTGTCCCTGTGTGCACAGGCAGGTGGGCATTGTCTCCCGTCAGCCTATGGGGTTAGGGGTCTTAGAGAGAAATTTGGCTTGCTGATGGCCACTTGTCTGGTGCTGGAACCTGACCACACCTCTGTTCTGGTGGAGCTGAGGCAGAGTGGGCTTGGGGGAGGGGAGCAGGACCCTGTCCTAATTCTCCCACTCAGTAGGGCTGCATCTAAACCAGTGGTTGTCAACCTTCCTGATGCTCGACCCTTTAATACAGTTCCTCATGTTCCATGACCCCCAACCATAAAATTATTTTCATTGCTACTTCATAATGTAATTTTGATACTTTTAATGAATCATAATATAAATGTCTGATATGCAACCCCTTCCAAAGGGGTCACAACCCACAGGTCGAGAAACACTGATCTACAGAGACTCTGGCCACATAACTGACTTGACCGTACTACATTGGGAATTAAGCTTTTATCTGTTGTTTGTCCATCCCTCAAATATGGCTCAGAGGTGAGGCTGAGGCACTATGGGAGAGCCACACCATGGTGGGGCCATCAGCAGACAAGGGATGAATATTAAAAACCTGGGGTTGCAATGTGTTGAGGCAGCAGGTTGGTCCTACAGAGCAGGAGCAGAGAGCCCTGGCCATTCTTAGAGGGCGGGTTCTCACAGAGCTTTACTGGAAACCACCCAGTCTTGACAGGAGCCAGCTAACAAAACTGAAGCAGGAGCCACTTAACAGAACTGACGCAGCACGGCGGAAATGTTTGTTATCTGCTACCACGAGAAGAAAGCAAGCCGCAGAAAAGTCCTTATCATATGGTTGCACAAAAGTACACGTGTGACCAAGAGCCTCTAAGCAAGCACGTCTGTAGAAGTCTAGGAAGAGAGCGACTGCCCATCATGGTCACCACGGGGGAAGGCAAGGAGCGTGGTCAAAGTGCTTGCTTCAACCATATTTTAAGATTTTCAAAAGCTGAAACCCAGGAGCGGATGTATTCCTATATTGTGAAGTATAACATATACAGAAGGATTAAAATAGCACAAGACAGGCCCGTGACTGTTTTAAATACTCATGTAAGCCTCTGTGATGAATGTCACATTTCTGTCCCCACTGTTGGGTGACATGCCTGAAGCACAGGGAATATAACCAACTTGCCTTCATCACACAGCCAAGAAGACAGCTCAAGTCTGCTGATACCAAAGTGCCAAGAGAAGCAATGGGGGTGCACTCATGCTGGTGTGTGTGCACGCATGTGCGTGTGTGCACTCATGCTGGTGTGTGTGCACACATGTGCATGTGTGTGCACTCATGCTGGTGTGTGTGCACGTATGTGCGTGTGCACTCATGCTGGTGTGTGTGCACGCATGTGCGTGTGTGCACTCATGCTGGTGTGTGTGCACACATGTGCATGTGTGTGCACTCATGCTGGTGTGTGTGCACGTATGTGCGTGTGCACTCATGCTGGTGTGTGTGCACGCATGTGCGTGTGTGCACTCATGCTGGTGTGTGTGCACACATGTGCATGTGTGTGCACTCATGCTGGTGTGTGTGCACGTATGTGCGTGTGCACTCATGCTGGTGTGTGTGCACGCATGTGCGTGTGTGCACTCATGCTGGTGTGTGTGCACACATGTGCGTGTGTGTGCACTCATGCTGGTGTGTGTGCACGTATGTGCGTGTGTGTGCACTCATGCTGGTGTGTGTGCACGTATGTGCGCGTGTGTACACATATCTGTGC